TTATTTTTATTAGATGAATAAAAATCTATGAATTAGTACATTTCGATCTTTCTCATATTTCAAAAGAAGTGAATTGTATTGAACTAAAAGTAAATAAAGAAACAAAAATAAATCTTTATTATTTGCTACTCAAAAGTAAAGGATGACTCCACTTCTCACTTCTTTAAATTCAAACATTTTTCCAGTCTAAGCTAAAGCACACAACCACACACAGAGTGACACAGCTTCATCACACAGCTTCGTACCCGGAACCGCTGAAAATAGAGGCTGTTTCGACCTCTGAGCCTGCCCATCACATATAAGAAGTCAGGTGTGAGGACAAACGGTGCCCGCTCCCTGCTCACTCCAAGAAAGTGCTTCCTGTTACCCAGGATGTGACCAAAGTCGATGTGGAACAAGTTTCCTGTGCAGAGGAAGGACAAAGGAAAATCCGAGTTTGGTTTTATCCATCCCAGAGCTTCATTCCTCTTAAGTGTTATTACTCTATCACTTTCTTAAAATTAGTTTAAATAAACATTTAATAAAATTTTTTTTTAATTTTATTTTATTACTGCACAAACATCCAACAGAACGTGCTGCTTACCTTGGTCTGTGATCATGATGTTGTCGTTGTGTCTGTCTCCTATTCCCAGGACGTAGGTGGCCACGCAGTATCCTGCACAGGACTTCACGAACCTCTCCACTGTCTTGTAGTGCTGCAGTCACACAAAGAACAGCAGTATGAGAGTACATGAAGCAGCAGGTCCTCGAATCTTCAATTCTTTTCTGGTAACAAATTCAATTTCTATGTGGTGATTCTTTAGGAATTAAATTAAATAGGTATCTGCAAAATCTAATCCTCTACTGCCGACGCCAGCATACTAAGCAATCCTTGGAGCCATATTTGCCTTTAGTCCAGCAAAGTATGATTGGTTTAGAACCACAAGTGTTACTCTACCTTTTTCTTAATTTATTTCATTTTAGAAAGACAACTTAACATTTTTTGACAAATATCTACTTCATGATTTTAAAAAAAATAAATAAATAACCCAGTTATATTTCTGTTTTTAGGTTTTAAAATGAAGGGGAAAAAATTATTTGCAGGAAATAAGGTTCTTACTGTGAGATGTTTCAATTCATGGAAAATGAGAGAAAAACATAATGACAAGATAGATCTAAAACAGTGTCACTGCTATTTTTAATGTTATTCTGTCAAAAGAAATCGATTTATTATATATATTAAAAAAAAAACATTAGTAAGCATTTCTTATTAAATTTAAGTTGAAGAGCCTTTGTGTTGAAAGAGCCACTTGTGGCTCCAGAGCATCCCTGGCATTGCTGCCATTATTCAGTATTCCAAAGCTCAGCTGGCTCTTAAGGAGTCCAAGACCATGTTATAAAAGAAGCCATTCATAAATTAATTGGATGATAAAATTGAGTTCAGATGTTTGCATACTATGGAGAAAATGACAAATTGTGGGCACAAATGGGTCTTCCAAAAGGACGATAAGAAGCATCATTTCAGCTGGAAAGAGGATTTAGGACAATGAAGTTGCTGATTTGGAAAGGCCTGTGTTGGACTGGACAGATGGAAACAAAAGGTCCCATAATTGACTGACTTGAAACTGCTTTTTTTTTTTTTTTTAAGATTTCATCCATGGATCTGCATTTAATATTTGGAGTGTGGGTGGAGACTCAAAAATTACCAGTTTGTTTAACTGGTATTGCAAAAGTATTCACATCCCTTGAAATTTCACTGTTCTATACATTTCATTCTATTTTTACGTAATAGACCTATACTACGAAGATCATTGGTTTTAATTAGAAGTATGCAAAAGCTGAATGGCCTCCTTTAAGCGTACGGAGAAACAATCGCCTGATGATCCTGATTTATAAATCTCTACTCAGCTTGGCTCCAGCATACTTAAACTCTCTTTTATATAGATCTGTTAATTCCCGTTCTTTACGCTCTAACAACATTTTTCTTTTGCATGTTCCACGTTTCTGAACTGAAAAAGGGAAACGCATTCAGTGTGATGACTCCTTCAGCCTGGAATCAGCTCCAGTCTGAAATCAAGATGTCAGAATTGATTTCACTGGACTTATTTCGAGCAATTCTTAAAAAAACAGGCAACGAGATTCTTTTAAACAGTGTCACTGTTTTTAAATTATTTTATACTTGTGCATATGTATTAATTAATTTCATTTTTCAACTAGGTTGCTGTGTATTGCACACTTCTGCCCAGGTCCCTCTTGAAAATGAGATTTGGATCTCAACGGAGTTCACCTGGTTAAATAAAGGAAATATATATAAAAAAAAAAAAAGGGCAAAAAATGCACAAATTTAGACTTGTTTTATTTTACAATAAAAGTAAAACAGTGTGTCTGAGTCTCAGTGTTGTGTTCAAGACCACCCAACCCGAGACCAAGACAAGACCAAGACCAGAGTGTATCGAGAC